TTGTGACAGTCTTTGATTTTGCTGAAAAAACACGGAAACGAGTGTGTGTGTGTATATGTGCGTGTGTGTGTGTGTGTGTGTGTGTGTGTGTGTGTGATGCAAAAACTACCCCATTTTTTGGCCATTTATTCACCGAAATGCTTGGATAAAATATCTTAGTAAGAAGGGATTCTATACAATAATAGCTCTCAGCTTTACCTATGCAGCTTTACCTTATTCACATTCTCAGCTTTACCTAAGCCCCTTTTGAATTTTCGTCGGTCTCTTCCTTTTTCGTTGAGTATGTAAATCAAAGATGGGAAAAACTTCACCCTCTTCGATTCAAAATCATTCGATTTAGCAATAAAAAAGCAACACGCCAAGGAATCAAAGCCGCCATCAGCTTGCATTAGAGCTGCCCGTAGGTGGATTAAATAGGAAAAGGGGAAAAATTAAGGTAAATTAAGGCAAAAGACAAGAATTAAGGAAAATTAAAGCAAATTTTTTTAAAAAACTGATCATCAGCTTCTTTAAAGAAGCCCGAAAGAAGGATTAAAGTAAATTAAAGCAATTTTTTTTCAAAAAAAAAAAAAAAAACTGACCATCAGGTTGCGCTGCCACTGCACTTGAGCTCGCTAGCCTTGTAATATTCCGAAGGCATGGCACTGAAAGAAAAAAATGGATAGATTTTTTACTGAAAAACTTTGACTAGCTGCAACTCATGACGTAATTTCTTAGCTATGCAACTGCAGGCTGACCGCTGTTTTGACCAGTGGTCAGCCTGCTAGCCATTCGGCGTTCGCCCCCTCTCCTGAAGGAATTAACAACTCATCGGTTTTCCGGGAAAAAACCTTTGAGACCTAATTTTACGACACGATAGTATGATGAAAATAACTTGCTAGCGTAAATGGCAAAGAGTGCCCATTTTGGGGATGGGCGCCCTTATGTTCATGTAGATTAAGTTCCCAAAGTTTCAGCTTTGCAGCTTTTGTAAATCTCTCGAGATGAAAAATCGGTACAGACGAACACACACATAATCCCTCAACAATATACGTTTTTGCATTGCACAGATGCAAAAAAAAAAAAAGAAAATGCATAAAAATCACTTACCAGTGAGGCATTTCAAGCGAAGCGCAAAAGCTATTTTGCTCGAAAGCATCCGGGGTCTGCAAAAGAAACTAAGTTATAGTAATAAATACGAGTCGGTGCATATCAAAACGCGTCATGAGCGGACAAAACAAACACTTTTTGAGCAAATCGGATAAAAAATAGCAAGTTTTTATGAGCTAAAGCCTTTTTTTTTCACATGAAAATAAGGAAAGAAGAGTGCTGGGCCTGGTACGGTTATATCCGATATCCGAAAAACACCACTTTTTATTTTTCTCACATAAAAAAGGCAAAATTTA